TAATAAATAAATAAAGCTCAATGAAACACAATCAACCTCAAAATCTGGTATAATCTTGCATAGAAAAAATCATGTATAAGCAAAGTCCACTTCCTGCTTCTTCGTGCTTCTTAAAGCATGACGTCAGCGCAGCTCTCACTTTCTTATATGTAGAACTCCAGTTATCAAAAAGCTATGTGAAAGGGGGAGGTCTAATTTGCTTGGGCTTCATTCTTTAGAGACACTTTTTTTTCTTATTTACCAACTCGGTTCTTGCTAGGTCACGTGCTCTTTTTCTTTTTCCTTCTTTAAAGACGGACATCATTAGCTCCTTATTATGGAAACATCCATATTATCGAAGAGATCTCTAAGGACAAGGCTTTGTGAGTTAACGAATGAAGGTAGAAGTATTGCCTGATGCAATTTTCCATCATTCCTCTCCTTTCTTCCTTCCTACCAAAAATATCATACGAACATCGATACTATGCTAGAGAAACCTCTAGACTGCCATTTCCAATTATTAATTTGGAAGATTCGATTTCTTGGTTTGACAAAATGAAGAGTGATTAATTAAAGCGTCGGGGCTTCCTTCTTGAATTTTCTGGTAAGAATACTTCTCCAGCATGATGATTCGGCTATCGAAAGGCTCCATCTTGATGTTTCCCAACCTTTAGAATGCATTTATATTTTACCTCGCCACCTTTTCACTTGTGAATCCCTAACCAAGTTAAGACTACATATGATTTGCATTTCAATCCCAGTCTAATTCATTGGCCAAATTTGAAAAAACTGCATCTTTCCCTAGTAAAATTTTCCAACGAACATTCCACACAACTTTTCTACAATTTCCCATTGCGTCAAGACATGGTGTTGACTGATTGTGGATGGAGAAATATTAAGCATATCAGCATCTCACTTCCCAATTTGAACTGCCAAATTTTTCAGCAATATCCAGATAGCGGAGCTAACTAGTATTTACTCGACTATGAGATAGAAGTTCGTGCTACAAATCTTGTTTACTTGGACTATATATGTAACATCCCAGTTAATCTTCATTTATCTGCATTTTGGTGATCAAAGCATCTGCTTACGTTTTAAATCAAATCACAGCAAAGGAAGAAATTGCTGCTTATTCCACGAGAATGCTTAGTGGAATCCAAAGTGTTAGATCTTTGAGCATTAGATCTGACAATACACTATAGAACACGTTGCTTTTATATTCGATGAAGTAGAAGACTTACTGAGTGTGTATCTTTATCTTTCACTTTGTATCTGTAGATATTAATACCGTGAAAGAATTTGTCAAGTCATTTACCATGTGTCTCATACAATGAACGCCTTGAACATAGTCCGACCTTTTCTGCTTACCCATAATGTGAAACGTTTTCAATACCTGACAATAGGAATAATAATAATAGTAATACCATCAGAAAAAGAGGATTATATCAGTTTTAAGCATGATATTATAAACCGCCATATGCAAATACTATTTTTTTTAAAAAAAGGCAAGAAGGCACAGTCTAACACTGGAATCTTAACAACCTGATTAAACTAAATATTTCACGCTTTCCTAAAGAAACTAGTTACTTTTATAGGGGGAAAATGATAAGCTTTTGACTGTGAGGCAAAAGTTCAAACAGCTGATGCTCTGATTCTGGAAAAAAACGGTTCCTTCAAAAAATAAAAATAAAATAAAAAATGAATTCTTGTATGCTGTTTAACCAAATCGAATATCAATGACAGCTCATAGTGAAACAAAATTAAATCTGAAGACTAAGGAGATGAAACCCGCCATCTAGAATGCGAAAAATTAACAAAAAGAGTTTTAAGAATCGATTAAACATTGTGGAATCAGAATGCGGACTGTACCCAGAATTTAATTGTACCCTTGCTCGGTATGATGATATTGTTCCTCTTGGAATTGACGAAGAGGAAATGAAGGTTATTCAAGTTTCTTTTATAAGTGGGCTGGTTACAATGCCACCCCATTTATGCACACCATTCGAACTTACAAAGGAGCCGCCATTTATATCCATGGTTATTGTATATTTATCTATTTTTACCTATCCTTATTAAAAAAAATTTAATAAATATTATTTTCATCCATGTTATATTGCAATATTGTCCCTTTTAAATTCATTTATATAAACATTATACAAAAAAATATCAAATAATAAAATTGAGAAAAGATCTTATGTAAGTGATATTTTCGTTATTTTTGTAAAATTTGAATTATTTTCATCATTTGCAAAACTCAAATTTATTGTGTGTTTCGTTGTTAAAATTAAATTTAACTATTGCGTAATTGAGTAATCATTCATCACGGGATCGACAATCCGAACTGGTTTGTCCACTTTATTACTTGTATGCGTCATGTGTGCTACAGTACATATTTTCTAATGAACAACAAGTCCAACGTCATTTTTATACATTTAGTAGCCAAAATTCGACCACATCAAAGTTCAAGTCGCAATCAAAGACATTTTTCAAAATATAGTGAACAATCGAAGACATTTTTTAAAGTTTTGTGAGCAATGAAACATACTTTCTTACGTGGTAATTTGGCAACGACGTGACGGAGTGCCACCTACGCATTCTGTTACTCAACATTTTAAATTTTAGTGAGCAATCTAAGATGTGACATAGGTTTAGTGATTATTGGGACAATTAATGAGCAATCTAAGATACGACATAAGTTTAATGATTATTGGGACAATTAACTTATAAAAGTAATTTTTTCTTGTTTTCACAAAAAAAAAAGGAACTTTTTAAATCAAATTTGAAAAAAAAATTACATTATCAAATACGAATCACTTTGAAAATAAATAATAGAGACAGAACATAATCCCTACTCAAATCTTTTAACTTCATTTTATTTTTATATTTTATAATTGAAACCGTATAAAGAGTAACTAAATTATATATAAATAAAGCAGTAAATGAGAGTATTTTAATCTTCATCCCGCCTCGTTCCCTTGTCCCCACCCTACCTACCGAATTCTCGACGAGGTAGGTCCAAAATGTTAATCCATGTCTCCACCTCGACATGGTTCATCATGTTGTCATCCTTACTTAAAACTAAGAAAAGATTAAATACTAACTTTTTCATAAATATTTAGACATTAAAAAGTAACTTTTACTTATTCTTAAATGCGTCCAAACATGTTATAAGTTGTGCCGTAAATCTCCTCATCAAAAAGGCTCACCAGAGGCATATATCTCAATATTAAATTCGTTCTAATCCCTTTTTATTGCTTTTAAACAAGAGTCCAGGATAACAATATACGAATTAATTACATACATTGATATATGTAGAAATTCCATCCAAAATATATTAAGCCCCCGTTTGAGCCACGTTAAAATTTTCATTTTCATTTTCAACCACACATTTTTTAATAAAATAATATTTTCCATCACATCAATAATTTTTCCTTCTTTTTCAATCACACATTCTTAATCAATCTACTATTCCAAAATACATTCTTCTAAAATAATGTGGCTCAAACACACTATAACTCTCTTATGTTGAATTTCAACAACCATGACATAAACTGGTTGTAAGTCTATCAATATTGACCATTAATTCCTCATAAATAAAGGACATATTACATTTATAGAATGTTGTACGTTACAACTATGCAATTCTCACTCCACTATTCTCAGAGAGAGAGAGGTCTCGGGGACGAATTTGAGGGCTACAAGGCCCAACCCAATTGCCATCCCTCGTGTTAGGTGAAACTAACATGTTTGGAAAATAAATAACTTTCTTATAAGCTTGGGAAAAATATGTATAGATTCTCATTGATTAGCATAATCATGGCCAAAATGGATTCAAAGAATCAAAGTTCTTTGAATCAGTGCCCTTTACCCTCATTTTGGTAAATTTATATATGATTTATAAAGAGAAATAATAGCATATTCTACGTAATGTATGGATAAAAATTATGAATGTGCAAATAAAATTAATATTTGACTTTGACTTTAATTGTATTTATAAATCATTTTGTGAGAATCGTGGTTCTCCTAACTCTTTTGGGCTAATGCTATTTGCATCATTTGTATTGTTTGCATTATTTTGGCCTAACTGCTTAGATGTCACTTGCCTATTGGCATATTGGTTGTTACATGGATTGTGCTAGTTTCGGTTTATTAGAACCGTTGGATGTGTTGGATGGTTGAAATTTAATTCTTGGTTGATATTTTCTCTCACCTCTCTTATTTCACTCGACCTCTCCATTCTCGAATCTTCTTCCCTCTCTCTCGTTTTCATGGGTCTCTCTCTATTCTGTGAGTAGTTTCTATTGTCTCTTGGGTGGTTTCTCTATGATTGTTCTAGCATTTAGAGGGTAAACAAGTGGGTAATCTAGGCCTGAAATAGTGGCTGGTTTTAGTCTTGGTTTTACTCTAACTGCAAGGAAGAACAGTGGCTATTGGGAGATCTTTTGATCGATGACCAATACAGAGTTTCCCCTTTGAGTGTTCTCTGTAATCCCTCTCTTTCTGGACGGTAGTGTGCAATGATTGGAAGGGCTGTTCCTGAGCCTATCTTCGGCTAGCTACATAAAGGGAAGTAACTCTCGGTTTTCATTCATTTGGTGTTCTATGTTTTCTGTTGCCTTTATGAATATGTTAATATGCTTTGTGCTTTGTTGATTGTCACTTTAAAGTCCTAACACATTTATAAATTTATATCCAAATGGAGGCTTGGTATATATTTAGCTTGCCTCAGTTGTTTTTAAATTTAACTCTTCAAAGTCAATACTTAACGAGGACTCGCAATTTTCTTGCAACTTGCACTAAATTTTGTAACCAGGCAATTTCAGGGGATTATCATTAATGTTTGTAAAACATAGTGATTCTCAAATCACATACGTGCACTTGAACTTGAATTGTGAAGTTGAAATTATTTTCTTTAATTTATAGTTTCTAACACGAGAATTGACTACAACATATCAAAGGGAATGATGTACACAATTTTGCTTAATATTGGGCAAAATACATGGTGTAACAATCCTGTGGTTTCAACTATCTTGAATTAAGTTCTTTGGCTCACTCAAAACATACTTCGGTAATTCATATCTTGCACCTGCGACAAAGGCGTATAGGGGTAAAAATACACTCCATACTTGACATTTACGCTAAAAGTGGCAAAAGAAGAAGAGATATCGAATGGTGACTCAGTTATGTACCTCTTTCATCATAACAAACTGTTAAATCGGCATTTTGAACTGTAATCCTGGCATCGTTCACAATTGTTTGTGCAAGAGTTGGATCAGCTTCAGCTGCTGCACGAAGTGCATCCCAAATTTCTGGTACAAATGCATATCACAATTTAAGATTTTTCTCGTAATTAAGTTGCACAGAACATCCAAATTAAGTTATAAGCAAAATATAACAAACACGAGAAATTTATATGGTTCATAACCTCGGCCACCGATAAAAGAGTACCATGTACATTGTTTTGTTATGGATTAAATGAATACAAATTATAGAGATCTATTAATAAAGTAAAATAAGAAAAATGGAAGCAAGAATAACACGCAATGTAACATGATTCACCATCCGCAACCAAATCGCACTATATTGAAGAAGAGAATTACAACGTGTTATTTTTTTTCTCTCTACTATGATACTCCAAATGGAGGCTCATCTTAATAACCTTTATATAGGAGAAAAAATATTAGGACGACCTAATAATATGGGCAAATTTACCTAAAAATCAGACTTTTAGTATATTTTTTTAAAAGCTAATGAAATGTGTTCTTGAAAATTTAATAAAAGTTATGGATCTCATGAATCGTGTGGTTAAAAATAATTATTGACTCTGACTTATATTTTATCAACTTTTTTAGCTAAACCAAACATTGGCTTAAAAAATTTCATGGCCGGGGGAAAGTGTACAGAATATTAGGTTCCACACATCCAATATGTAATCTAGATTCATGAAAATGTCCTAGGATGATATGTTCTTGATAAACATCAGGTATTTTGTTACCTTACTGCGCAGGACTGAATTCCAAGGAGAAAGACTTAGTTCTTCGGAAGACTTTTTCTTTTGGTGTTTTTCAATAATGCATTTTGTTTGTCATATTTAAACTTACCTATCCGGCCGCCATAGTGAGGAGCGGTGTCCCAAAACTCTTCTCGCAGCTGTATGAGTTGACTCTTTGTTATCGGCTGAGGATGCTTCCATGGTTTCGGTTTTCTAATCTTTTTGACATTTCCTGTAAAACTCGAGTGCAAAATAGTCCATTATCAGTACCAATGCTAAGAGCCTCGTATATAGAGCAATCGATTTGTTGTAGATGCTCCATATCTAAGCTATCAGTTGATAGCCTAATACAATATTTAGACAAGTCCTTCAAATTTGTTCTATTTAGTCCATACTGCGCTGGCTAGTACAAAAATTCCGACAGCAAGAAACAGCGAATCCCCGAGCATTTGTGGCTAAATCATGCCTAATGAGTTCGTGTTTTACGTGTCGAGATCAGAATAAATAGATTTGACGCAATTATCTTAACCAAAACAAACATAAGATTTCTGGTAATCATCAAGTACAGAAGATAAGAACAATGATTAGGAATACAAAGCAAATATGCAAATTATTTGGTGTCTCATGCCTCACCTTTCATCTGTGAGGACCCAGCACAACCCATGTTGTATAGTTGCAAGAAATGAAGTAGATTCAGATCTGAAGTCAAATAAAGTGTTGTAAGAACAGTTCAAGAAGTTCAGTAAGTTCTTTTTTGAAGTGCATGTGAGTTTGAGTTGATAGGAGAGAGATGAATTAAGTTCCAAGTTTCAAATAGTCACTTTATGGTTGGACATTTATGAATAAATGAAATCTTGAAAAAAGTATAGTTGGCTAGAATAATTCCTAACTCACAAATCCAAGAATTCATCGAACTATACTTTTGAATCTAGAGTTGTTGGTTGGGTGAATACCCATTCCTTTTCTCCGGTTGAAGTTTATCGTTTTTAGATAAAAGCATGTTAACTTTTTGTTTAATTTATTTTGAAAGTAGGATGATAATTCACTTCTAATTATTGACTGACAAATGGTGTCCACAAGAAAGACCAGAAATTGAGCAAGAGAAAAAAGTGGAGTTAGTAGTTGGGTATCATGTTCTATTCTCGTGATCACAGTTGCAGAGGTTGTAAGGAAAGATTAGGATTGGCTTTAGTACAACTGTGTGGAGTTGCGAACCATCCAAATTGTTATTTCCTGAAAGTTCACATACGTAGTCCACACGAAGTTAGTTAAACACAGGAAATTTCGAGAGAGTGAAAATTAGCTTAGTTTTTGTATGTATCATGAGAGAGGAGAGAACCATACACAGACAAGTTGAAGATCTAGTTGGTCAAGGGATCGAGTGAACCTACCTTAATTTTATGCTACTGCTGCATAACTTGATATGTATACGTATATATAATTAGATATGTCCAAATGTGGGCACGTTTGGAAGTGTTTAAATTAAAATTTAAGGGATTATAAGTTGTAGATCCTACAAAATATGTTGTTAATAAATAGGTAGGTTGTATGTCCGACGAAATGCGTGAATAAAAAATATGAACATGTTTTAGTTACTCGTGCTAAAAAATAAGCTCCAAATGTATGGTTAATATCGAATATAGGCAGGTCCACTAAAAATAAATCATGCATTTGAGGCTTGTTTTTAAGCATTAACCACTCCAAACATAATGTTTGACCAGCTTAAATTATAGTCTAAGCTTTGCCAAACACGAACCAACAATTACTATAGAGAAATCTTCCTTTAACAGATACCAGATACAAGAACATCAAGAAAATCATGCAGATACATCTCAAAATATGTACATTTTGTTGTGATACAAAATCAAAAAGTATTCTTAAGTTACTTTCTTGACGTTCAGATGTTTTGGTAAAACAGATGTTATCTCAAAGTCAATGGTTCAGCTGCCTAAAACACCGCGACTTAATCGTATCGATATGAATCTCCATACTTGCTCCTGAAATTGTAAGGATCATACTTCGTATTCTCATAGTTGGCTGCCACGGTTTCAACAGGTTTCGGCTCCATACTCAGTGCCACAAAATTTGCGTCACCATTTTCTCTCGTGCACGATGCTTTATTCTCTCTTTCTGGCTCTTCGTCCTGATTTGGCCGAACGGGGGACCCTCTCCCGACCCATAAAATTCAGCATATTCTTGCCGTTAGGAACATCTGTGCTTGCTTGCACAATCTAATCTTCGGTTGTTTAACTTCAGTAAATCAATCAGCAAAAGATGGTTTGTGGGTCTGCCTTGTTTCAGATAGGGGAGTTGGAGCTCTCTGCTTTTGAGCTAATGAAGGCTCGGCTTCATCTTCAGGCACGACGAGAATCTTTCAGAGGAGGCCACCTCTGGAACTCTTCCCCCTTAAGCGCAAGGGAATGAATTGAAGAAAAATGCCACTTAATGCTTCCATTGCAAACTTCGATATATCCCAGACAAGCTGTCCAAATGACGGCTATCCAGCTTCTTGTTCGTCTTTAATGGCAACTGCAATAGGAGTGGGTTTCTCCTTGCTCACTGGTCATTCCGGAAGTTCAGATCCATTATGCCCTTGCAGCAATTATATGTAATGAGGTTACAAAAGATCGTATAATATAGAATAAGCGATACAGATAGGCATCTAGCAAGCAGAAGACCAGTTTTAGAACTTCAGTCTAGAAATTACACATCCTCACTAATCATGGAAATGAAAAATCGGTGCTTTCAATCCACATTAAAATTCGCATCGACATAAACCTTACTTAGAAATGTATACAAAATTATCTTGAGAACACGTGGAAGTCCATGCACCTTCTATGACGCAAAATTTGTGAAACTTGGCAGCTATTCAATAAAATGAAGAATTGAATTCTTCATTTTATTTATCACCAGAAGAAAACTTTCCCATGTTTAGAGGGATAAATGGGACTAAAACTTTCACAAACAGTTGAATTTAAGTCAAAGGCTCATTTTTAAAAATCAGAGATCATTGTTTTAATCCCTCTTGTTAACTCAATAAACAGAAAGAAAACCATAGATAATAGAATTTACCATTTTGGAGAAAAAAGAGAACCAAATCCCTGCTGAAGCATGTGCGAAGCTTATCCTATCAAAATAGAACCAGCGGCCATAAGAAGATCTGTCAGAAAAACCAGATTATTAGAGTCAGACTTGGTTACCAATTTGTCACTTTGTATTGGTGTACTGAACTGAGTAAAGTACTTTTCAGCAAATAGCTAGCTTGATAAAGGATGAAAAACAATATTTATCTAACTTCACGTATGGAAGTGTATTCCTAAAAAAGGGAACCAGGAATCAAGACACAACAAAGATAGCATACGGTTAAATCACAACATGCAAAGTTATGGACGAGACGAACACATAGATTTTGGGATATCAAGTATGATGGCATGATAATTTAAATATTAATCGACATTATCATTTTATTTGATGGAAAAAGATAGCATGTTAAAATACCTATCTTGGCAAAAACATATTATTCAACTGCAGTTGACATAACAATTGGACAAGATTTAGGACATATAGCATTTCATTTAGCCAACTAATGTGCTGAATGTTCAAGAAAACGGTTGTTGATAGGCAATCTAAACCTACAGCAGACATAGAACTATTCTGGTAATCACAATCTTCTTTGTCGACAGAGATTTGACACAGAGCAGCATTGCCTCTGTCAACAACTAATAAATAACAGGTAGCCATCAATATATCACATCGAAGTCACTCGACAACTTTGCATCCTCACTTGGTCCATCCCGATAGCCCACAACATTTGATTTTCCTCACTCAATGGTTGTCACACCTGCAATTAATTTTGAAGATTAGAATACTTTGAGAAGACATCCGTACCATGACAATGAATTAATTTTAGATCCCAGATAATCTATTTCATACAGTAATATTTAACAATTATTTAGTACGTATTCAACTGTACGGATTCCATTTTGATTTATCAAACTCTCCTAGAAATCTGGATAACACAGAACAACTGGAGAAAACCTGCTTCTCCTAACTTTCTAATGGCAAGATTTGATGCATCAGCAACATGAACATTTCCTTTATCATTCATGGTAATCCCCTTAGGATGATTAAAACGAGCATCAGCAACATAAACATTTCCCTTTTGCTTGCGGCACTATCTCAACTAACACCAACTTTGGCTGTATCCAAAAAAAACTGAACTTTACACGGCAAATAGCTCTCCATCTTACGAGGAGACAATGGAGAGCTATTTCCCTTTTGTTCAAGAATCAAATCTCTTTCATTGAAAATAAGGTTTAACTTTTCTAATCTCCAGTATTTGATTGGTAAATTTTTTATTATTTGAAAGCTAAAGCATATGAATTAAAAAAATAAAGTCATCCTCTCTCTTCACACGTTCCAGAACCAAAGAGGAAAGGAGCATTGCCATACCACACTTAAAAATGCTAAAACAGAAAATAATGGTGGTTATCTGATACATTCATCTTGACTGAACAAGATGTATAATTCAGAATAACGGACAGGGAAGTGCACATTGGGAAAGTGGGGGAGTAATTCATACGACGTTGCTATTCTCAGCATCCACGGCAAATAGCTCTCCATCTTACGAGGCACGAATCGAGTATGGTATAGCTCCAAGTTCTTTCCCCTGAACAACAATTTCAACTAGATAGCCATCTTCAAATTGAAGCGAGAGCTAGAAACTGCAAAACACAAGTGATAGAAATGATTAAGAAAACGAGAAAGATAAGGAAAGACCTTATGCCTTTCACACAAAATTAAAGCTCAGAAAGAGCTTCTGTGCGTGTTTGTGTGTACAGATCAGAAAAATTTAAGGTGGGATTTCAATGGAGATTGTGAAAAAATGAGTTTAATTAAGTGAAAATAGAGCTGTCAATCCGGGTGGTTCGGGTCACTCGGCTCGTCAACACATGGGTTCGGTAACGGCCTGCCTAAAAAAACCCGCCCGCTACGGGTTCCGGGCCGATTCTGAGTCGGTCCACAAATTTTAGATTACAATCCAGACCCGCCCGCTGACACATCCGAGTCGAGCCCATGCGGGTCACGGGTCATGGTTTGTTTCGATTTGGCCCGAATTATTTTATAAATAAAATTATAAAAATATAGAATTTTTCATATTTATAGCAAACAATATTTTTTTTTGTTAAATGTAAACTAAAAATTGAACAAAATGATAAATTCATATTTATACCAAAAAATGTTAAAATAGAATTCAAATTTAATAATTGAAATTTTACAACTAAATGCATTTCTAATTAAGTGAAGGTATATATTTATAGATAAGAATTGAACAAAATGATAAATTCATATTTATACTAATAAATGTTTATAAAAAAATCAAATTTAATGTTACATAAATTATTTATAACTTTGCAAAGTTAAATTTAACTTAAACAAATAACAACTAAGTGTATTTCTAATTACCATTATCAAATATTTATAGTCTAAATACATCTCAACTAGGTTGACACCTACTTTTATTATAATTTATAGCTTAAGCCATTGTTTGGCCCCCATTAAATTACATTACATTACATTAAATTTTTCACTCTCTTCATTACAACTACATATTCACCAAATAAAATAATATTACACAAAAAAATCTAAAAGTTTTAATTACTTTTCCACTACACATTCTCCCATCAATCACTATTCCAAAAATTTTCAACCATAAAAAATGAAAAATAATGGGGGCCAAACAGGGGCTAAGTACATTCCAACTAGGTTGGATCTCTCCTCCCTTTTTTTCAAATTAAAAAAAAAAAAATTCACGTGCCAACGAGTTAACCGCGGCCCGTGAAGATACAACCCGCGAAGTCCGCGGGTCACATCTCCTTGACCCGTGAACCGTCCACTCGGGTCACGGGTGGGCCCGCGGTCCTGGGTCGATCCGGGCCGATTTTCACGGGTCTGGCCAGGCCGTCCATCTTAACACCTCTAAGTGAAAATACAGATTGAAGAACACTGATTTTGCACAATATGCAAAAAGCTAGTCTTTTTTCAATTCTCCATCTTCAGTTTTTTTAATCTGAAAATTTATTCTTTCACAGGCTTGTTGATTCCACCACCGCAGAAAGTGCATTTTTGGAGGATCAGTGGAAAAGAAAATCTAAATCAAGACTGTGGTTTGGGTTCTGCTGGTTGATGTACACTAGAAGCTTGATATTTAGTTTGACACTTCGTTCTTACTGAAAATATTGTTGCTAGACGTGACTCGAATTCCTTATTGGAGTAATTAAAAAATTCTAATTAAAGTATACATCAAGAAAAATTCAGTTTGGAAAATGCTATTGAAAAGTTATATCAAGTTGAAGTTCTATTTTCGAAACTCATTGGGAGTTGGGATTTGTTTTGAATTCAATTTTTTGGTATCCTATCATCAACAACTCTACTACGGGGGTTTGAATGTCCCTACATGTTCTCTACAAATACCAGGATCTTCTATACAATTTTTAAAATGTGAAAAAATAGATTACTAGAACTATAGGATTCATTGTAATTTTATCTCTTCTCCATTATTTTTGAGTCAATAAAATCTCTTAATTCATCTGTTATATTCTTGTCTTATTATTCTTTTACTTGATCATATACTTCATTATTATTTGTCATATAACTTCAACATCTCAATCCGGTGGTTTGTTTCACAACAATTGGTATAAGAGTTATTCTGGTATCTTATTTGTTTTACAACAATTGGTATCAGAGCGCCAAGTTCAGCAGTTCTTCAAAAGCGTAAGGTTTGATTTGTTCGAGATTTTTTTATTCGTGATGGTTTCCATGAAGTATGACATTTCGCTTTTGAGCACTAGATTTTCACTATGGCAGGTTAAGATACGTGCAGTACTTGCACAGTTGTATTTGGATGATGCGTTGCTGAGAATTAACAAGATGGCCGCAACTTTGACCGCGAATGAAAATTACAAAAAGATAAAAAGGTAGTTTCTCACATTCACCTTCATCTATCAAATATTATTCTTCAGGAAGTTTTG